CTGGCAATAATGGTTGCGCATCACTCATTTCTTCAAACGGATGTGTGAATAACTCCTCTGACATACCAACTGAAGCGGCTGTGGTGCTAGTTTTGGTGGTGGCGGCAGGCGGGTGAGTGGTATCTTGAGAGGTGCCTGAAGCTAAGCTGGAGGAGGATGGTGCGTCAAGGTTCTGAGCGGAGGCTGTAGAAGATTGGGTGTCCTGTGTTAAATCCAAGCTATTGTGTCACCAGATCTAAGTGGTGGCACTGGTCACCGTATCCACTGTTAGCGTAACACACCCGCTTTAAGGACACTGACTGCCATTCAATCTATAACAGTGAAAAAAGTTTTTTGTTTTTAAATGCAAGCTATTATGACACCAGTGAGTGGTGGCACTGGTCACCGTATCCGCTGTTAGCGTAACACACCCGCTTTAAGGACACTGACTGCTATTCAATCTATAACAGTGAAAAAAGTGTTTGTTTGTTTTTAAATACAAGCTTTGTGTCACCAGATCTAAGTGGTGCACTGGTCACCGTATCCACTGTTAGCGTAACACACCCGCTTTAAGGACACTGACTGCTATTCAATCTATAACAGTGAAAAAAGTTTTTTGTTTTTTTAAATCCAAGCCATTGTGACACCAGATCTAATTAGTGGCACTTGTCAGCGTATCCACTGTTAGCGTAACACACCCGCTTTAAGGACACTGACTGCTATTCAATCTATAACAGTGAAAAAAAAGTTTTTTGTTTTTAAATCCAAGCTATTGTGACACAGGATCTAATTAGTGGCACTTGTCAGCGTATCCACTGTTAGCTTAACACACCCGCTTTAAGGACACTGACTGCTATTCAATCTATAACAGTGAAAAAAGATTATTTTTTTTTTAAATCCAAACTATTGTGACACCAGATCTAAGTAGTGGCACTGGTCAGCGTATCCACTGTTAGCATAACACACCCGCTTTAAGGACACTGACTGCTATTCAATCTATAACAGTGAAAAAAGTTTTTTGTTTTTAAATGCAAGCTATTGTGACACCAGATGAGTGAGTGGTGGCACTGGGCAAATGGGCACAGTATATGCTGTGAGCCTGACACACAGGCTGGCAGGCAGGCAACTGCAATTACATTACACAGAAAAAAAAGCAGACTGATGTTCTAGCCCTAAAAAGGGCTTTTTGGGGTGCTGTCCTTACAGCAGAGATCAGATGAGTCCTTCAGGACTGTAGTGGACACTGTATACCCTAACCTAGCTATGCATTTCCCTATCTAATCAACAGCAGCTATACTTTCCCTCCTCTCACTAAGCATGCAGCTTGAGAATGAATGTAAAATGGATGCCTTCCAGTAGGTGGGAGGGTCTGCTAGGGAGGGTGTGCTGCTAATTGGCTGGAATGTGTCTGCTGACTGTGAGGTACAGGGTCAAAGTTTACTCAATGATGACGAATAGGGGGCGGATCGAACCGCGCATGTGTTCGCCGTCCACGGCGGACGCGAACACGCTATGTTCGCCGGGAACTGTTCGCTGGCGAACCGTTCGGTGCATCACTAGTCTTGATACAACAAGAAATGTGTGTGGAAATCAGTCTCTGCAAATAATGTAATTTTTTCTTTTTCTAAATTACGTTTTAGTTGCATAAACTGTTATTAGTAAGTCACCTAAAATTTTTCAGAACAGCCCTACCCCTGGTCACACTCCATTTACACCACTAAAATTAAAGTGTCCCTGGTCGTCATCCATTTAGATTATGAGATATGGTGTCCTGAAAATGTTGATGTTCCTGTCTGCTTCTACCTTGTTGTTTTTTGCTCAGTTCCCCTTTGCTCTTGTTATGTCCTCTCCTACTTCAACTAATTTATATTTCATTTTTAATCATTTTAAAGTGTATGACGGTTAATATAATGTGTTTCCTTATTTGAACACAGGTGTCAAAATAAATCACCAAAGTGAGAAATGTGGTGAATTAAATGTGAATGTGAAACTTAAAGCCAAAATAACTGAATTGGAAACTTTGAAATACAACTATGAAAAGGTTACTTGTACTCTATGCCAAATCCCTATGCATTTTTAATAACTGGAGGTTTTAGTATGACCCCAATGTCCATTTAATTTGAAGTTCATCTGCCATGTATCTCTTAGGTAAGTACTACACTAACAATTCACCTTATTACTTTCAGCTAAAAGGCCGAATCTAATTACAGGTTGTTTCCTGTAAATATCAATCCGAGGCTGTCTTACAACTAAACTTTGTAAGATCAGTAGGATTTGATGGAGTTGTGCATAAATATCAAAAAGGAATGTCAATTAGTAAAATGAAGGACAAGAAGTAAATGAGAAGGGATAGGAGTGCTAAAACAGAGGGTATGATTGCTGTAGAAGGAAAAAGAAAGACAAGAGGAAGATATAGTGGATAATGTTACAAAGGAGTGATTTGGAAGGAATGTAAAAGAGAGGATTTCGGTTTGCCTATCCTTTAGTCAAAGTGAAAATCATTTACTTCCAAGAAAGAAACTTCACCTGTTGCTTAAGTAGACTGGATCAAAACCATTTATAATAAGTTCAGTAGGTGTGCCCGCCTAACCTGCATCCTTTAATCCAAGCTAATTTGATTAATTCTCACTGGTATTGTTCGTTTTAAGGCACTGTGCATTGTCACACCATATTCTCTCTGCTTCCTCTTTCAATCAAGGCACTACAAGATTATTGTGTGTGTGCGTCTTGCAATTGTTGCTACATATATAATTACAGCAACATCTAAATACTAAACAAGGTTTCAATTATGTCTCCTCAGACTGGATTTAAATTGTTATTCTTGTGTTGAAATTCAGTTTGGTTTATCTATATATATCCTGAAACCTATAAACTTTGTAGTTTTTTATTTCATTATTGTGCAACCTTTGGTGGTCATTATCAATGATTGATTGAGAGTTGCCATATTACCAGTTACTGTAATCATGATCATTAAGTGCGTCTCATAGTCTAACTAAGCCAAGTTTCTGTGTGCAATATTTACCTAAAGTCACAGCTACAACAATTAATAATTTCCCTTCATGGTTTCCCCATGCCATGATTTTTATCTTACTTCTGCTTGTTTAACATAATTTCTTGTTGTGCTTGAACACCCCCTAGTGGCTGAATGACTCCTCACATCACAGAGATATACATGGCAAAAAACGGGAGTTTATTGCTCCCGTCCATTAAGAAGAGAATATAAGTGCCTGATTGTAGGGAGCAACAAATAATTTTTTTTAAAGTGTGAAGCAGCTAAAAGGTACACTTATATATTTTATTTCATAATCACATTTTCACAGTAATAAGCACCAGTTATATTATTATTATTATTATTGCCATTTATATAGCTCCAACAGATTCTGTAGCGCTTTACAATATTATGAGAGGTGGGATTTAACTATAAATAGGACAATTACAAGAAAACTTACAGAAACGATAGGTTGAAGAGGAGCCTGCTCAAACGTGCTTACAGTCTATAGATTACAATCTATATTAGTTTGTTAGTTTTATAACTGTGAAGGACACAGTGCTGATTTGAAATTTATGGCTGGTGGGAGATTTGTAAGGAGACAGTCTGTCCTAGGTGTTGGTACAAAAAAATGTATGTCTACTTACCTACACTTGCCTCTTGCCTCTTACTTGCCTCTTGCCTGGAGATCTCAACAGTAAGCCTTGGAAGCACACCAAACCATTGGACAGTTAAAAAAACACCCCAGCAGACCAGAGAGAGTTACCACAAGCAGACCAAGTGGCGACCACACTATGCTACCATAGACAAAATCAGACATTAAGGCAGAGTCGGAAATATATTCACAACTCTCTGATCATCTCGCAGCCTCTGAAAAAATTCACAACATGCTCCAGAGCCTCAAATTCACTCTGCAGGAAGACTTTCGAGCAATTACCGCAGACCTGGA